CATTGATTTTATATACAGCTTTACGTAAATCGCAATTAAAAAAGAGCCAAATGCGCTTAATAATGCAGATAACTAAAGGCAATAAAATCAATTATATATTTCGTACTTCAATTAACTACAAACGTTTCAGTCTCGTCTCTCTCTCTCTCTCTCTCTTTAATATAAAATTACAACACAAATAAGCATATGGAATGCGTAACGAGTCGCGGTAAGAAAGAAGCGGTCGCAAATCGCAAACAATTATGATCCCGTTGACGAAAATCCAAGCTTGTCGAGGGTATAAAAAAGTCGAAATCATTTCACTTCTTCCTTCTCGTATACTCTTGGTCGTATTATTGTATTAAATAATTTAGATAATTTTAATCCGATTTTAATCCATAACATACGCACTTGTAAAAGAAATTTGCTCTCGTTGTTAAATAATACTGTTTTTTAAACAATTATAGTAGACTAATTTTCATTAATTTATCTTTCTCGCTTTTTCACGAAACGATGCTGCAATATATGCCCGTGTATCTATCCGTTTCCCCTTTGTATTTCCTCATCCTCGCGCTTTGTCCGACCGACACGTGGCACGTCCACTGCCAGCCGCGGCTGACCATACGCCGAGTCGCGCTACGAGACCCTGATTATACACGAGGGCCGACGGATTATATTGCGGTCGGAAGGAAAAAATAAAACACGAAGAGTAACACAGTCTCGAGCAAAATTTATCTATTGTTAAAAGCGAGAAGAATTTTCTTGAAAGAAGCGAAAACGCTCCATCTAAAAGGAATTGTAACGTTAAATGCGTGTAATTAAAAAAAAAATGCCACTTTTTAAATTACCTTCAATATTCATCTCGCTCTTCGTTGTATATTATTAATTTCTTTTTAAATATATAATTTAATTTGAATGTAATGAAATGTTAATTTAATAAAAAAAGTTTAAAATTTAATTTCGTGCATTTTATAAACGTAATTTGATACGATAATAAAATATAAAATAAAAAATATATAAAATTAATAAACCGATTGAAGAAATCGAACCTCTGGGCGCGTTATCAAAGTATAATATAAGAAATAGCCCAAGTGCATATATATAACCTATATAGTACAGTGGTACAAGTACATCTGGAAATTTCTGTTCCGCTCGTTGTCGCCAATTCCGGTGAATTTGCCGGCAAGAAGGAAAGGATCGAGCGGAATCCCTTCGATCTCTTTTCATCGTGGAAAGGAGACGGGAGAAAGGAGCGGAGCGAGGAAAATCCGGGGTGACGATATTGGCAATTTCGCTGTCGCATTTTCATTTCGCCCTGCGCTAACATCGTAAGCTACGAATTTTCGCGGCTCTCCCTCGCGACTGAATGGTAAGTTGGTAAAGAGAGAGGGGGGACAAGATAACGAAAACAGATTTCTTCCTGCACGATTTCCATCGATGTAATCGCGTAAAGGTCGACTTTCCTCCGCTTATGCGAATAAAGGTTTTTGTAGTTGCGCGAGAAAAAAACGACGTATTATACTAAAAAATATCTTTCATTTTCATATCAGAGATGTAACTTAAAATTACTACGACTCTCTTACTCTTTACACTTCAAATTTTAAACAACACTCTAAAAAACAACACTCTCTTGGTGCAAGAGAGATTGCAGTATAGTTGAAACTTTAAACGTGTATACAAATTAAATTAGATTATGTAATTTTTATAAACTACTTTTATATCCGGTAATAGACTGCTTTTCTATTAGCGTATTTTCATTTTCCATTACATCATCATTCGAATATAATTACAGCATGCAATATTATATATATTCCGATAAATTTATCTCATCTAAATGTACTTTTTTACTTAAAAAACTCGAAAACAGAGACACTTTTGTTACGAAACGACATTATACGACTCGAGACGTGTAAAGAAGATGAGAAAATGAGATGTTTGTTCAATTCTCTATTTGCGGAGCACTCCTTAGCGGTGCTCTCTCGGAGAAAGCGAAGACTTCCGGCGCGGAATTAAAGTTGCAGGAGAGCGGACCTCGATAGAACCGGCGCGCGGAAAGCGAATGATGATGAGCGTAAAGCAAAGTCGGGTATACCTATCCGAAGTGGAATAGACTGAGAGCTATACACATATAATTGACATCGGTCGAGGGAGGGGGCGGGGGGGGGGGAGAGAGAGCAATTCTTTTCATTTCATCGATATTCTTTATGCATCGGTCTATGCAACGGCCAAAAAATGTATCTGTGAATTGTAATACAAATCAAAATGTATAGAGGAGAAAAGTACAGTTAAAATTTTCAATTTGTTAAATGTGTTCATTATATGTAACGTAATCGGAAAACGCTGCTGTAAAGAGCGTGCAAAATTCAACAAATTACACGAGATGCCGATAATTTGAATGTCCATAATTTAACGTAATTATGCGTGTATACCTTCTCTCCTTCTCCGTCTCTTTCTTTTTCACACAGGCTGGATATAAGCGGAGTTTAGGGGCGGATTTTGGCCCGCCGCTCTTCTTTCTCGTTTCATGGAAACGCGCGTTGTAATTTACATTCGTTGTATTATTGCGTTTATAGCGCGCGCGCGTTTATACACTCCAGAATTTTAATTTACGATTTTGCGCCGCGGAATGCCAAAAAAGAAACAACCATCTCACTTTCTTTCTATTTAATCTGTTTTCAATTTTGTATATTGGTTCAGCGTAAAACTAATAATACGTGTATTTCAACGTGTATCGAGCAACGTGTATCCAATTTTCCACTACATTCTAAGGATATGTTTTACTGTTTTAGAAACAAAATCCTTAAATTGCATCATGCATGTAAAATTTAATATAATATAGATTTATTCGTTATAAATTTAACCGCACATTTTTTAATTTTTCATAATAATTAACGCGAGATTAGACATTTATAAGATTCTTATTTCTGCTGGATGTAAATTGTTCATAAATGATGCAAAACTAAATTACTGCACCTGCAGATATACACGATGTATATACTTGATAGACTGGTAGACAACCTTGATAGACTGTCCTATGTAAATTACATTGATACGCGTGGACATTAATTATTGTAAATTTTATGTCAATTATTAACAGACGTATGCGTCGTGATTTTAAGCGCGACATTTCATTTTTGAAATAATTATTGATATTATAGCTCCCCGTACATATATATCGCTAGTATTTTTATCTGAAATTATACATGTTGCATTTTAAGATTTATATTCTTTGCGTTAGCTGTAACTATATTATATATATAACTATTATATTGTATATTATACAACTATATTATATAATTAATCTGTATAATTAATAACAGACATAGACAAGTGTATTGTTAACTAAATAATTATTATCTATGCATCATCTATATCTAATTGTTATCCTACATCATTGTCTGTATTATTTTTGCTTATACTTGCTTTTAATTGATATGAGAATGTAAACATGTATCACTGATAGCAGAAAGATCGACAATAATCGATTGCACGCAAAATCATCGAATCATCGAATAAAGGGAAAAGAGAGATTCGAAAAGAAAAGGAACGGCACGGCTGAAGCACGAACGATTACATAACATAACAAATTACAACAGAGGGTGCAAACGCGATAAACAACATTTCCACATCCGAAACGGGCATTATTTGTAAAATAAAATAGCTAATTCGAAACGCGCTAATTAATTATGCCGGAAACAACGATGCGGCATCCTCTCACACGCGCATATTTCCATGCGCAGGATCACACAAATAACTCGAATTTATTAATTCGATTAATTGAATGTTCCGTTTCGGGACGACGGGCGATTGCCCCCTTCCCCCTTCCTCCGTCCGTCTCGCTCTCTCTCTCCTCTCGCCGTACAAACGCGTTAACATCGCATTATCATCGCGCGATACAATTTGCTATATAAATTATTCCGCCGAAAATCATCTTGGGCGAATGACGCGTGGATTGAAAATCAAAGTAATCGCGGTTGGTACGCTTAAAAATTGTTGCGCGGATCAACTTCAATTTGATTCGAGTCGAGAGATGAAGCAGAAAATATCTCGAGCATAATTGCTATATAATTCTATCCAATTTTCTTACAAGAGATTTTCTTGCACTTGCATATACGAGGCATCGTTTCGTCAAGGCAAATCGAAAGACAAATCGATCCACAGAAGCTGCGAGATCCCGATCGAGGATCGTTATCTCGGCTGATCGGATTCCGCCCACCACTCTCGAGAACAAATAAAAGATTCGCACGGTCGCTGGCACTTGGAAGGTTTCCTAAGACCGTGTCTTAGCCTGCTTGAAAAGGTTCCCAAACTCGCAAGCTTCGCTCGCGGGTCACCGACCCGGACTTAATACGTACACTTATCACGCTGCAATGATCTTGTTAGCAACTTTCGTTCGTCGGCATCTAGAACCGGAGAGAAAGGAGAAGGAAAGAGAAGAAACGGGGGCTTTTGGAGCTTAGCGACGGTTAAACGCGCTTTATTGGCTTTGGAAGCCTCGGAAAAGCTCATCCCGTTCCGATGCAAACTTGGACTCTCGAAAGAGCAGAAACTGCTTTATTTACGCTTTGTTTCGCGACAAAATGTGAATCGAAGAAAATATATAATACCCAATCATATGCGGATAAAAAAGTGTAACATGTTTTTCCCTTGAATTATAACTATAATTATAATATTGGATTTGTGACATAATTATAGTCACTTACTATATGGGTTACATATAGTAATAAATAAATAAATAAAAATAATTGATGAAAAATATTAAATTTCTCTCTGTGAAGCTTACTACAGAAAATCTATTGTTTTTTAGATATTTTTAAACATGTGTGTGTACTATTTCTTAAATCCAACTTTTATTCATGAATACTAAACTTTGTAGAAACTTGTAGCGTAGATAAATGCACATTCCTTCATTGATGTGTCACTTTTCCGTCCCTTTCTTTTCAATTCTTGTCAATCGAGTAAATTGAAAAGCAAGTTTTATTTCAGGCTTTTCGATTCGAAATGATTAATTTTTGACTTACCTACATCCTTGGAACCGCCCCATGTTCCCAGCTGAGCTTGACGAGCTAATCGAGACAAAGCGTCAACGTAAACTCGCGACGCCGCCGCAGCTCCTAAAAAGGAAGAAACAAACAAACAAACTGTTAATTCATTTTTATTATTATTAATATATTTATATATAATTATATATAAATTTATTATATTTATTATATAAGTATATTGACCGTAGATAAGTATAAAAATCTATCTTTAGAGTCATTAATATTAATGCAATACTTTGTTGCAAGAAAAACTAATAATCTTTTTTAAAATTTGAATCCTTTTTCAAAAATTGTTTCAATTTGTACGCGAGCAAAGTAATGTTTGTAGGAGACACGAGTTTCCAAGAATTAAAAAATGCGTTTCTTCTTCTATCTATATTCGACATGGACGAGATTCACTTTCAATCAGGCTGATAAAATAAAAAAAGCCAAACGCGCTACTCGCGGTTATCAGGGAAGAAACGATTCCTTCTCAAATCGACTCTCGTTAGGCGTTATGGAGCAGAAAAATTGGAACGATCCGGGAAAGAAACGGCAGGGAAGACTAGTGATGGAAAGTAGGAGGGAGAGAAATGGCGGTATATCGGTGGAAATTGTGTGTTCCATCCCCGCGGCCAAATCCCTCATAAATAGCAGGCTCGTGCGCAACAGACTCGAAGAACGAGAAAAAAAGAAGAGAGAGAGAGAGAGAGAGAGAGAGAAAACGTGGACAAGAGGGGAAGCTGATCGAACAAAGTGCCGTACGTACTACATCTTGGGAGAGGAAGAGGAGCGCATTTTTTCTCCATGTCTTTTTCTTCATTCCTTTTCCCTCTCCTCTCATTATCGGAAAGTCGAATCGTGCTCGCGTATCTTTTTTAAAAACGAATTTTATTTATTCCCAAAGCGCATTACAATGTACATTTCGAAATTTTTTTTTTAACAATTAAAGTACTTGCAATTTGAATTCTCTTTCATCAAAAATTTTCCTTCTTACGCACCACGCATTTTCGACACGCTTTGTTTACAAGAAACCCTTTGTAATAAAAAAAACCCTCAAAAAAAATTGAGAAAACTCAGATTAATTAATTAAACTCTGATTGATTTAATTCGAAAAGCGTTAATCATTTTTCCTCGTAATGTGGATTTTGTTTCGGGAAAAGACGTCTGTTGTCTTCAATTGTAGTTGCCGCAACGGGAAATTTGCCGAGATGCGCGGCTAAACGTTAAATTCCCTCCCGACGATGGATCGCAAATATAAGGGATGAAGGTATAGAGTGAATTTATGCTTCATTCGTACATGTTAGATATATACACGAAAACGAGTGGAGCGTAAATTATGGCACTCTTGAAACTCGTTCCACCTTCTCTTCCTTTTTCTCTCCCCGCTCTGTCGTCCTGCTTCGACCTCAGACACAGTGCTCGTTTCCAGAGAGAGGTTCTTATTTATTGTTTCATGCTACTAAACACGCCATTCTTTGTGCGGCGAGGAAAATGTTGCTTAAAAAAATAATATCATACGCTGTTTTTTACCAGTGGTCTACCACTTAATGTCGACCCATTTGACTTGTCTTTTCTTTAATAATAATTGGAATTTTTTCATTTCCAAGTATACGTGTATTATATAATATTATGAGAATTTTTTTATTTAAAAGCCAACTATTATTTTAACCAAATTGATTTATTCTCTCGTAAAAGTATCACTTTAATATAGTTTTCAAATTATAAACAATCATAAAAGAAACTTGCTATTTATATTTCACAGATAAACAACGCCGTGTCGTTCTCTTATTTATTATATTTCCCGTAGTGTGTACACTGCATTTATTATTCACCATTATACGCTGCATTTATTATTTATATATGTACATTAGCATTGCTGTATCCATTATCATTATCGTTGTAAAAATGATAATAACGAGATTTGCCCGCTTTCACATTTGTAGTAATAATTTCGCTGCGAGGACGCCGCGCCTCATACATATACATATATATATATATATATATATATATATATATATATATATATATATAATATATATTCGAGTTTTACGATACGAGAATTTTGTAACGGCATCGAAACTCGCACGTCGACAGCTGTCGCCGCCATTTTTCGCGTATGTTTCGTCGCAGCCTGCGGCGAGACACACGTGAGCTAAAAAAAAAAAAGAAAAAAAACGGAAAAATGCGATTTTTCTTGTATAACCGTTTCTCCTTTTTACTTTTTATTATGAAACAAAGTCTGCGAGGAAATTCAACTGCGCGGTAAATTTGACCATAATTGTCCACGTTGCCAATTTCAATTATTGTCAATTATTTTCAGTTTCCTTTTTTTCTTTTCAATGTTTTGCAAATAAACTCTTGTATAGATCGAAAAAACGAGACTTGGCGCAAAAAATTTCACAAAAATCGTTATTTATAAAATCGTTTCATTCCTTATTTATTTTTGTTATTGGAATTTCTTTTGAACGAGAGAGCTCTTTCATCATCAATTTCTTTTAACATATTAATTTTGTTGATTTGGAAAGAAAGATTTGCGAAAAAAATATAAAAATGCAAGTCGACTTGCAAATTTTCAAATATCTTCTATTCGTAGGCTTATTGTTGGCTAGTCTTTTCATATTATATTTTGATCTTATACATAATTTCTATCGTTATATTCTTGTTTACACACACGCACAAGTATACATTACATTTCTATAAATGGTGTGTGTACAATTTTATCTTCATTTTACAAGGGGTTTTGTTTTTTTAAACTTTTCGCGTGAATAAGCGAGCTTTAAGCAAGCAAGTAGTAGTGGCGCATTATTAAAACGCCGAGTCGCGAAACAACCTGGTATAATTGTAAACAGAAATATTCAGCGCTTCGCGCCCCCTCGTCGCACGGGAATGCGTAAATCGTTTGGGACATAAGCCAGAGAAGCAGGGTGGCGGGGTCGATGGTGGAAACGCTGACTCGCTCATCCCCCTTGTTTGCGGCTGTTCCAGCAATCCCCGAGAGCCGGGGGGAAACGGGCCGGGTTCGTCATCGGCGACGCACCCCATTGTCCGCTGGTCATCCCTCGTCTTCCCCTACTATCGGCAAACTTTGAACTGTCCTGTATCAACCCTTCATCGCAACGTTCCTCGACTCTGGAAGACATCTCGATATCGATATTCACAGGTATATCGAGTTCGAAGGGCGAAGGTTCTCTCTATGCTGCTTCCGCGAGATGAGAATTCAAGACATTTCCATATCTAAGGATATGAACAGTATCGAATATTTGAGGCTTTGGACCTTGCACTTGTTTGCCGTTTCGAGAGATTGCGTGAAAAATATCCACGATATGTAACACGGATATAATAAGATGAAGAAAAGTCGTATAATCGAAATATATATTTTTAAAAGAAATTAAAAAATAATCTCCGATAATCGTTGAATATAAAATTATTGCGTTAATTTCAATGATTGCAAAAATATAAAAGAGAATAATTTGATGAGAATTATTGTGATTGAAAAAGGAATAAGCATTTCGAGATAAAAAAAATATGAAAATTAAGCTTTCTATAAATGAGAATGAATCGATTCTCTCTTTCCGTGCTGAAAAAAAGGAAAAAAGCCACCTGGATTACATCTTTGAAATTATTCTAAATTTTCCCGAAGCATTGTTCAAACGATACTCGAGGAGTGAGAGAAACTCCAAACTGCTTAAAGCGTAATTAAGGGGCGCTTTGAAAGACGACTTCTTAGCTCGGCGCATCGTTTATCAGCGTGCTCGTGGGCTTGCTTAGAAGGGACAGAGATAATAAATTAACGACGGAGTTTCTCTCTAAGCGGCTTAATTGCTTATGAGGGTGTTTACCAGGGCCCTTGGGCTGCTTTCGCTAAACGCAACAGGCGCGAATAAGCGTCTGTACCAAGATTCTGCGCGGCATTAATGTAGATTAATGGAAAACTTTGCTAGCCATTTTGGCTGCAACTTTTCCTATTACTTGGCCGACAGTTTTCACGACGAGCTATCGACGATTATAAATGAATCCACGGTCCTGACTTTAGCAATTCCCTTATTTCTTTTTCATCCATCGGACGGAATCTCTCCTTACTACAAAAACTTGGAGAAAGAGACGTTGATTCTTATTTTTTCCATTTATTTTTTGTCAAAGTTGGATACATGTAAGAAGAAGCAAAATATAGGTGTATAAAGTCACTTTCTCAACGAAAATTCCAAAGAATCATCAAATTGGAATAAAACGCGTTTCCGTTGTTGCTTTACGTAATAATTTTCAGAAATATTTTGCTGTCGCAAATTGTATTTCATCGCTTAGAAATGTATTTTTCGCTCGAAAATAGATATTAAAAAATATTGGAATAAAATAATCTCTTGTTTTTAAAAAGGGAATCACTAAAAATACTCGTATGCAAGTAAATATAATAAATAAATAGATGATGTAAAATAAAAGATATATATTACTTTTCTAGGTATAAAACATTCGCCCGGATTAGAAATATTCCTCCATGTAACGATGAATCCGATTCACGTCTTTTCTTAACTTTATTCGCTTGTCAACGCTTGTCAACGCTTGTTGTCGCTCTGAGCAGTGAAAGGATAACGTTTAATACTCCCTTCCCCGCACGTAAGCCCGTGCATACAATCGCATACACGCATAATGATCCCGACAGACGCAACACGCCTGTACTTTTCTCGGACCGCCTTTGTACAGCGTACACAAAATATATATAAAAAATAAGTGTACAAAATAATTGTACAAACACATTTAGAAACATTTTCTCGTCATTCGCACCCTCCCTTAAGAATAACGAGCATTCTTAGCGAGTGGCGTTAATGTGTTTTCACCCCTCGGGACGGTATTTCGAGGGGTAGTTTTAATATTGCTCTCGCATCGTCAGAAAATGCTCCCGCCACGTCAGAAAATGCAGCGGCATGTGACGGGAGGGAGAGGGGAAAAAGCATGTCCGTAGCGGCATCCAAATTCCGAGCTATCCGAGCTATTTGGCTGCTTCGAACGAGCGCGTTTGAATATCGTGCGATATATCGTGCGCGATAACGCGCAAGTTGGAGCGGTCGTTTATGTATCAGATGCCAAATAGTTAT